AGTGAATGGAAGTCGCATGCTGCTCACTCCCCTCCTGGTACTCTTCTTTACAATTTCGAGACTTCTTTGAACTTGGCTGTTTCTGACACAAGAGGAACATTAGTAACATTACCATGATTACAAGCTGAAAGCTGAAAGCTTTTAAGATTAGCAAACTAGTGTGGTAAAATGCAACCTTTGTCCTGGGTTCTGTGGTATGTTTTTACTTCATTTTTCGTCTCTGGGATTTTTATTGTTAGTACACTATGGCAAAACAGCACTAGGTTTATTTTTCCTGTAATAACACTGATGCCTACTACAAACTATAAATCTTCATGGATCGGTGAACAATATTGTGGGTTGGCAAAAATCTCTGACTTTGTATCTTGGCATAGTAAACTTATTTTTGAAGTACTTTATTACAATAAATTTTAAATCTATTTCTGAGAGTCTTGGCCAAGCATGTTGGTATGTTGATAATTTCTATTTTCTCTTTTTTTTTTTTCCCCCCAGCGCTTAACTCAACCTCAAGTCATTTATTTGTAAGGCATTAGGGGGGGTTGGATTGCTGTTCCCATGCTGCTTGCCTTGTTTTGCTGACTTCCAATCTTCATGTACTCCGTGAGCTCTCACTCCTAACTTGGAAGTGAACATGGATATTTTGGTCTCTTATTTGGCCAGCTAACTACCACTAGTACGACCTGTCAGCCAAAGTACCCTATTTTCTAGGCAGTGCCTGTGCAGCTGATTTTTGTTGTTGTTGTTGTGCTTTGCATCATGAGATCAGAAGAACCACTTCCAACACAGTAGCTATATCCCCGGGAGCTCTTTATAAGGCTGGTCTGACAATATCAGGTTTTAGGGGGTTAGTGTGTTAGTGACCACAGTGGAGGAGCTTGTCAACTACAAATTTGAGGTGGGGAATCTGTGCAAGTGTTGTGGTTGGAGGCCAGAAGTAGATTTCCAGCCTGAGATTAGGATATTTTTCAATTTTTCATTCTTTTGGGAAAAGTGAGGTGGTTGGGCGGGCGGCGTAAGGAAAGAAAACCCATCAAATGGGTTACCATCAATAACTATATTTATTCCAACTCCTGCCCTCGTAGTTGCATATATGATGGATATTTTAGGCATTTATGTGCTGAAGTAAATCCTCGTTTGAATGGTGAGCTATCATGGAAGTGGATATATCTTATGCATTAAAATAGCTAATGATGTTTTTAAGGCAAGTGGCAATTGTGGAGCTGTTCAGAAATCGATGAGGATCACATGCTTTAAAAGCAGTTGATCTTTTCACATCTTTTTGTAAACAATACTGTGGCTTTTAAGTGGTCACTTTTATGATAAGGGAAACTTTCTCCTGCATTTGGAGAATGTTGTATCTCAAAGTAGTAAGAGTGGTTAGTGCACAGGAAGTATTTCTTTGCTAGGTACCAGCATCCCTTGTTTCCATTTCAGTGCCTTGACACCTGAAGGCAGCCCCGGAGCTGTGTGGTTTGGGTTGTGTGCGCAGTGTGGGTCAGCACTGGCCTGTCCAGTTACTGCTCTGCGGGGTCAGGGTTTTCCTCAGATGGTTTGCAGTTAGAGTGAGTGACCCACAGACGCTGATCTCTGCTCAGTAAACCAAGGAGCAGGCATTACTCTCATATGATGGATATTTTAGGCATTTATGTGCTGAAGTAAATCCTCGTTTGAATGGTGAGCTATCATGGAAGTGGATATATCTTATGCATTAAAATAGCTAATGATGTTTTTAAGGCAAGTGGCAATTGTGGAGCTGTTCAGAAATCGATGAGGATCACATGCTTTAAAAGCAGTTGATCTTTTCACATCTTTTTGTAAACAATACTGTGGCTTTTAAGTGGTCACTTTTATGATAAGGGAAACTTTCTCCTGCATTTGGAGAATGTTGTATCTCAAAGTAGTAAGAGTGGTTAGTGCACAGGAAGTATTTCTTTGCTAGGTACCAGCATCCCTTGTTTCCATTTCAGTGCCTTGACACCTGAAGGCAGCCCCGGAGCTGTGTGGTTTGGGTTGTGTGCGCAGTGTGGGTCAGCACTGGCCTGTCCAGTTACTGCTGTGCAGGGCGAGGGTTTTCCTGAGATGGTTTGCAGTTAAAGAGAGTGACCCACAGACGCTGATCTCTGCTCAGTAAACCAAGGAGCAGGCATTACTCTCACATGAATTTCACTGAATTTCACTGAATTTTTAGAGTTGGAAGGGACCATAGAGATCATCTAGTCCAACTCCCCTGCTGAAGCAGGATTGCCTAGAGCTTGTCAGAGCATGTTACTCAGGGGCATCCAGGCGGGTTTTGAAGATCTCCAGAGAAGGGGACTCCACACCCTCCCTGGGCAGCCTGTTCCAGGGCTCTGTCACCCTCACCGTGAAAAAGTTCTTCCTCATATTTGAGTGGAACCTCTTCTGTTCCAACTTGTGCCCGTTGCCCCTCGTCCTCTCACTGGGAACCACTGAAAAGAGTCTGGTTCCCTCCTCCTTCAACCCTCCCTTGAGATACTTGTAGGCGTTGATAAGGTCTCCCCTCAGCCTTCTCTTCTCCAGACTAAAGAGTCCCAGCTCTCTCAGTCTTTCTTCATAAGGGAGATGCTCCAATCCTTGAATCATCTTTGTTGCCCTTCGCTGGACTCTTTCCAGTAGTTCCCTGTCCCTCTTGAACTGGGGAGCCCAGAACTGGAGGCAGGATTCCAGTTGTGGCCTCCCCAGTGCAGAGCAGAGGGGGAGAATGACCTCCCTCAACCTACTAGCCACACTCTTCCCTATGCAGCCCAGGATTCCGTTGGCCTCTTGGCCACAAGAGCACACTGCTTGCTCATTGTCATTTTGCTGTCCACCAGGACCCCTAGATCTTCAGAAGTTGCCTCCAGCAGGTCCACCCCTAACCTGGACTGGTGCCTGGTGCCAGGACTGTGCCGTTCCCTCCGCGGGAGGCCAGTGCCCGCAGGCACCTCTGAGGTGACCGCAGAGCGCGGGCGGCTCCTGCCCCGCACACTCACCCCCGCACACTCACTCACCCCCGCACACTCACTCACCCCCGCACACTCACCCCCGCGACCCCTCCGGCCCCGGGCCAGTCCCGCGGGGGGAGCGCGGGGCACGTGCAGCTCATCCTGCGCCGCACCGGGCCCTCCCTGAGCGAGCGGCCCACTTCGGACAGCGTGGCTCGCATCCCCGAGAGGACTCTGTACCGGCAAAGCTTGCCTCCCCTGGCCAAGCTGAGGCCTCCCGGAGACAAATCCATGAAGAGGAGGGAGCCGAAAAGGAAATCCCTCACCTTCACCGGGGGGGCCAAAGGGTTAATGGACATCTTCGGGAAAAGCAAAGAATCCGAGTTCAAGCAAAAGGTGCTCAACAACTGTAAAACAACGGCGGATGAGCTGAAGAAATTGATCCACCTCCAGACGGAGAAGCTTCAGTGCATCGAGAAACAGCTGGAGTCCAACGAGGCTGAGATCCGCTACTGGGAATGGGTGTTTAATGAGTTCTCAGGTAGCTAGAATGGTATTGTTTTAAATTGCTACAGATGTCAACTGAAATATCCCATAATGAATGAAATGGAAGATTCATATTTCAAAGGTAGTGAGTTCAAATCATAGTGGGTTTATTAAAATTGCCAGCGATTACTTTTCTATCAGAGCTGTTAAAGATTCAGGAGTTAATGCTGGCGCCCCTTTGGTAGGACAGAGCGTTTTCTCCCACGTGTCCCACATGTTAAGAGTTCTCACTAGATTTTACCCATGTACAGTTATTTTTCTTTATACGGCCTTGTTAAGGAAGACAGCATCCAGTTGCCGAGCGCTGGAGGGTGATCTCCGGGAAAGCGAGTGGGTCAGAAAGCTGTGTCCAGGCTGGGGAGGAGGTGTATTTGTCAGTGCCCCCAGAGCTCTGGACAGTCTGGGCTTGGCTTGAGCGTGTGTTGGCATACCTGGCTTTGACCTCCATGGAAACCTGCACACAGACAGGCTCTTGCCCACCCTGGCCTCTTCCCTAGGGAGGGAGAGGTGTCCCCATGTTTACGATGGCTCATCTGGCCACCCTTCCCAGAAATAACGTGAGACCAGGGCAACGACTCACCTACTTGCACTGACTCACTGCTGCAGGTCCTGGCCGTGAAGCATGGGAGACACTTCATGAAAAGCTGGATCTTACTTCATGCTTGAAATAAACTTGTGTAGCCTGATTGGAATGATAAAGGCACAGATACATTTTTACATGGTGGGATAGTGCTACGCGCATACAAAAAATGTAGTGTCTGTCCCTGAAATGCTTTGCAAGTAGAGGTTGATGAACTTTTGGGAGGGAGGAAAGGGATTAATCATTTCTGTCCTGAAAAATAGTATTGATAAATTCTCAAGTTACAGTCCTGCCAGAAGTGTTCTCTGCATGAGAAACACTGCTACTGCTGCTTTCCTTCAAATTTTCATCTGTACTTTTGGCAGCAGAAAGAGTCACTCATGTCTACTGTGTCAGCTGCAAATATGAAAGCCTGTAGAGAAGCTTAAAGTGAATAAGAGTTGTATGGGTCCTGCTAGCTTCATGGAGTCTAATTTAAAAGTCCACCTCTTGCGAGTCTAAAAAAAAAAAGTTCAGCTACCTTGCTCTATATTTCATTAGTTTGATCACCATTCATTGTAGTGGAATCTGTGTTTAAATTACCAAATGACATCAATCCCAAACTAAGATGACAGCAGTTGGGCACATTCAGGTCCAGAGCTTGCTGTCTGGCAGTGCAGCAGAGCAGTGGCTGGTCCAAGATACTGGCTGGAGTTGGGTCCTTAATGTCTCATGGGTCAACGATAACTGGTGGCATTAGAGCCGGGTTCAAGCCACTCATGACAGCGAGTTGCACCCTGTGCATCAGCATCAGCGCTCTTGAGCCCATATATTTCCTTTCTTGATCTTTTACTAACTTTTAAAATAAAAGATTCTTTTGAGAAATGTTCCTGTATTAATAGAAGCTGTGACAAGTTTGCGGCCGCCCGCTGAGCGCTGCGCTTGCCTTGCAGGTCGCACCGGCAGGTACACGCTGATCGAGAAATGGCGGGACACGGAGCGGCACCTGGCGCCGCACGAAAACCCCATCGTGTCGCTGAACAAGTGGGGACAGTACGCCAGCGACGTGCAGCTCATCCTGCGCCGCACCGGGCCCTCCCTGAGCGAGCGGCCCACTTCGGACAGCGTGGCTCGCATCCCCGAGAGGACTCTGTACCGGCAAAGCTTGCCTCCCCTGGCCAAGCTGAGGCCTCCCGGAGACAAATCCATGAAGAGGAGGGAGCCGAAAAGGAAATCCCTCACCTTCACCGGGGGGGCCAAAGGGTTAATGGACATCTTCGGGAAAAGCAAAGAATCCGAGTTCAAGCAAAAGGTGCTCAACAACTGTAAAACAACGGCGGATGAGCTGAAGAAATTGATCCACCTCCAGACGGAGAAACTTCAGTGCATTGAGAAACAGCTGGAGTCCAACGAGGCTGAGATCCGCTACTGGGAACGAAAGTGTAACTCCAGCCTGGAAGAAGAGATCCTCAAGCTAGAGCAGAAGATCAAAAGGAACCAAGTGGAGATTGAAGAGGAAGAGTTCTGGGAAAACGAGCTGCAGATGGAACAGGAGAAGGAAAAACAGCTGAAGGAGCAGCTGCAGGAGATGAGGCAGAGGATCTTGGAGTGCGAGAGCAAGCTGAAGGACTACCTGTCTCAGATCCACAACATGGAGAGCGGCCTGGAAGCAGAGAAGTTGCAGCGGGAAGTTCAAGAGTCCCAAGTGAATGAAGAAGAGGTCAAGGAAAAGATCGAGAAGGTGAAGGGTGAAATAGATATTCAGGGCCAGCAGAGTCTGAGACTGGAAAATGGCATTAAAGCTGTGGAAAGGTCTTTGGGCCAAGCTACCAAACGGTTACAGGTAAGAATGTCCTTTTATCCGTACTTAAAGAAAAGTCAAAGACCTGACTGTTATGAATTTTTCTTAAACAAATTTGGATCACGTGAAAGAAAACACAAGAAAGTTTCCACAGTGCATTTGGGTAAAAGCATTGCTTTCATTTTCAAAGTGTCTTTAGGATATTTTGTTTTGAAGGGCAGACAATTCGTATCTCACCTCCGTGTATTTTACTCATTCAAAGAGTCTGAAAAGAAAAACAGTAGTTAGTTCTTTGTCTGAAGATAAACGGTCAGACATTGTGGTGGGTGTGCTCCTGGCCATTGCCAAGGCCTGGGTGGCCTGCAGGGTTAGAGCTGAAGGCCACACCACCTTTCATTTATTTACGTGCTGCCTCAGTTTCCTTCCTGTCAGTTACAGCTTTGGTTTGCTGCCATTCCCTGACTGCCTGGTGACCTCTGAGAAATCACTCAAACCATATCTTCACCGTGCAGTGGTGTCCACGATGGAGAAACACCAGAGCTGATCTCAGCTAAACTAGCTGAGGGCCATATGGCTGCACCAGTGGCAATGCATCTGGCCACCTCCCCTCTGAGAGGGAGTCCTCACCAGCTCCAGTGAGGTGCTGCTGTGCTCCTGGCTCTGGGCTCTTCTACACCTCAGCCAAATAATGTCTCCTTGCTTGAACAGTAGCACATTTAGGGCTAGAGGGGGGATTGAGGTACTGCTGGGTGCTAAACAGGACCATAGTGCTCTTGGCCTCGTGCCTTTAAAAGTGTTAGTCTTCAGACCCCTGTTGGCTTAGAGTTGGATATGGTGAGGGTTTAGGTCCTAGATCTTGGCAGCTCAGAGCTTCATATTGTTAAATTTCAGGGAGATTTGCACCACAGTAGCCTTTTCTGCAGCTAAACTGATTCTTGCTAGGCCTGTCTGCCACCAGCATAGATGAATTAAAAAGGAAGTCCAAAAGCAGCACTTGGACAGATGGATGTAGAGCTCAAATAACTGTCATCTTACGGGGCTTTTGTTTTAAAGAAGAGCATTCCCTTTCCCTGTCTGTTCAGGATTTTATTTTCTGTCCACCTCAAGCATCTGTGGCACTTGTCAAAAGAGAATCCAGTCTCTGGCTCCTCGCTACAGTTAATGATATCACTTGAAACTTGGTAGAGCGTGAAAGAATAAATATAAATGGAAATTCAGCTGCTACCTGGATGAGGTGAAGGAAAGATTGTGGCTTCCAGGGTTTGAATGTGCCACATAAGATAGATGTTCCACGGCGCTGCCCCTGCAGTAGGATGATTCTGCTGGGAATATGTAAAGAGCATTCCCTTTCCCTGTCTGTTCAGGATTTTATTTTCTGTACACCTCAGGCATTTGTGGCACGTGTCAAAAGAGAATCCAGTCTCTGGCTCCTCGCTACAGTTAATGATATCACTTGAAACTTGGTAGAGCGTGAAAGAATAAATATAAATGGAAATTCAGCTGGTAGCTGGATGAGGTGAAGGAAAGATTGTTGCTTCCAGGGTTTTAATGTGCCACATAAGATAGATGTTCCACGGCGCTGCCCCTGCAGTAGGATGATTCTGCTGGGAATATGTAAAAGGCATTTTGCACCCTGAGCACCTAGAACCATGTCAATATAAGCTGGTTTTACTACATGAGAAGGGGAAAAAAAAAAAAAAGTAATATCTTTATCCGAAGCAAAATGGATGAAACTTCTAAGCAGCTTTGGCCGTATTTATCTATCCTAAGTTTCCAAACACACTGTGCTTAAGGATTTGTGAAAGAATAAATATAAATGGAAATTCAGCTGGTAGCTGGATGAGGTGAAGGAAAGATTGTTGCTTCCAGGGTTTTAATGTGCCACATAAGATAGATGTTCCACGGCGCTGCCCCTGCAGTAGGATGATTCTGCTGGGAATATGTAAAAGGCATTTTGCACCCTGAGCACCTAGAACCATGTCAATATAAGCTGGTTTTACTACATGAGAAGGGGAAAAAAAAAAAAAAGTAATATCTTTATCCGAAGCAAAATGGATGAAACTTCTAAGCAGCTTTGGCCGTATTTATCTATCCTAAGTTTCCAAACACACTGTGCTTAAGGATTTGTGCTGACAGAAAGCATCAGGCTGTCTTTGTATACTTTACCTATCCTGTGCAACACGCAGTGAGACTATAATTGAGTTCAAAATCTGCCTCCCTTTTTTTTTTTTCATAGGCTGGGTTTCACTTTCTCAGGAAAGTTTCTGTTAAATTCACATCTCCCAAGCTTGTTCTACCTAAAAGTGCACTCATCTGGAAATAGAGGAGAAAATAAACTCGGCTTTGTATTGTACAGTTTGGGGGGGGGGAGAAATTGAGAAATATTTTCTTTCATGCTGAAAGTTAATTGATAGAACTGCTGATTTGAAACGAGAAGAGTTGAGCGTGGGTGTTTTTATAGACCTTTCAGTAAGGAAGGAAAGAAAATTTTGGTTCACCAGATTTCAAGTGGTAAGAAAAGGAAGGTGGCATTTTTTAGTAGCATGTGAGAAATTTCTAGTAATTTGTCCTACCTTTTCTCTTTCCTTTTCTCTAGCCACCTCAATATGAGCCTATGTTCACTTAATGTGAGATGCAGCACTCTGCTGGCCCTGTTTCCAGAGAAAGATTTTAAATGCAAAAAAACCTAACCAAAACCAAAAAAAACCCCAAAATGCCACCCTTCTTCAGGCAAAAGATCTCACTGAAGTTTCACAATTAGATAATAAATTTAAGAGCTTAAACCAGTTGGATTTGGGGTGATATTTCAAGTTTTTACCTTATTTCCTGTGGAAGTTGAGAAACGGCAAGAGCAAATTGTTTATGAGGTTAGTTCTGCTAACCTGTGGATTTCAGTGATTCTGTTTTTTTAAAAAAACAACTGAATTCAGTGGCAACTTTGTTTCGATCTCATAGAACAGGGAGCTGCAGAATTAACATTGCAGTAAGTGGCTTGAGAAGTTCCTGTGACCAAGTCCCCAGTTGTAGAGTCTAATAGGCCTCAAATAAATTGAAGAATTTTTCTGTAGAACTGCCTTAAAATTTGAAGGTGGCCTGGTTTCTGTGTCTCAATCCAGTTTTTCCAAAAGTTGACAGCCAGTGAAGGGAAACATAAGTCTAACACAGAAAGCTGAGACCAACCACGTGATATGCGTTGACTGAACAGGTCAAACACAGAGATTAGTGACAAAGCAATTGACATTTAAAAGGTCCCAATTTAGACATCAGATCACTTGTGTTAATTTTCTTACTAACTGTTGAATTCAGCCTCAACTGTGACCTTACTGCAAGTTTAAAATCAATAAGGGCTGTGCTGTTGAGGACTCTTCCTAAAACAGATCCACCAAACTCTTTGCCTCCGATCCTTGTCTGAGTTCATGTATAATTCTGCTTACACAAGATAATTAGGGAAAAGAAGGTTGACCCAACCTCCATCTCTTGCCAAAATGAAGATGTAGCAGTAGGCACTGCATAGACACGCTGCCTGGCATCTGGCATCCTTTCCCTGTGTGGCCAACAGGTGAGACCCACCCTGGCTGTAGAAGAGTACCACAGGTAGCTCTCTGCTAGTAAAGCTCAATCTGTGTATGGGGAAAAACAATAATTATAGTCTAAGACTGTCGTAATCTATTGGAGCTGTAGGTTTTGCATATCGTGCCAGAACTACAGAGCCTTGAGCAAGATCCTAAACGGTCATCTTCTGTGCTTATGGGTGGGGAACCAGCCAGGACTTGGCCTCATTGTACAAAATACAGTACTCCTCTTGCAGAGTGAGAGAGTGCTGTCCATAAAAATTGATGCTCTAAATAGAAGATGGAAAGAACAAGAAGAGAAGGGAATTATTCTCATTTTAGGAACAGAAAAACTAAATGAGCTCTCCAAGTCGTGCTGGGCACTTCTGGCAGAACTAAGATTTGGTGGCAGACTGATGTATTTTTTCAGATTGCTCTCTATTACCTTTAATTGCTCACATACGTTGTTCCAAAATTTTTCTCAGGTGATAGGATAGGTGATCTGCAAGTCATTCAAGAAGCAATATAAACATATCAGTAGTAACCCCTAATAAGTGAGTGTTGCTTTCCTTTCTAAATTACAAGAGTAAAATACCTTTCAACTTTTCCATTTGAATTTAAAAACTGGAGGCTTTGTCATCAAAAGGAGAAGCCTTAGTTTCCCGAATTGCAAATAGCCTTGAAATGCTGCTTTATGCTTGCTGCTGCTCAGCAGATGTTTTCTCTTTCTTGGCAGGACAGGGAACAAGAACTGGAGCAGCTGACAAAGGAGTTGCGACAGGTCAATCTCCAGCAGTTCATCCAGCAAACAGGAACCAAGGTGACGGTGCTGCCAGCAGAGCCCGTGGAGGTGGAGGCCCCGCACGTGGAGCTGGAGAGAGGTGCAGTGATTAGGATGCTTCTGGTGGGTGGGAGGAAGGGAGGGCAAGGCCTTTACCTGCTGCATTAACCCCTGCACTCGTACATCCAGTCAATGCTCTGATAGCAAAGAACTGAGCAAAATCTTAAGAAAGCAGTGTCAACAGGGAGGGCAAGGCCTTTACCTGCTGCATTAGTGCCTGCACTCGTACATCCAGTCAATGCTCCGATAGCAAAGAACTTAGCAAAATATTAAGAAAGCAGTGTCAAATATTTCTTTCATTCCAAGGGTTTAGCAGGCTGTAAGTAAAGCAGAGTGTGTAGATAGGCCTGTGTGACAGGCTGAGAGCTGGGGTTGTTCAGCCTGGAGAAGAGAAGGCTCCGGGGAGACCTAATAGCGACCTTTCAGTACCTGAAGGGGCCTACAGAAGAGCCGGAGAGGGACTCTTTACAAAGAAGAGTAGCGACAGGACAAGGGGCAATGGTTTTAAGCTGGTGGAGGGGAGATTTAGGTTAGATACTAGGAAGAAATTCTTTACAGTGAGGGTGGTGAGACACTGGAACAGGTTGCCCAGGGAGGTCGTGGCTGCCCCATCCCTGGAGGGGTTCAAGGCCAGGCTGGATGGGGCTTGGAGCAACCTGGTCTGGTGGGAGGTGTCCCTGCCCAGGGCAGGGGGGTTGGAACTCCATGATCTTTGAGATCCCTTCCAACCCAAACCATTCTATGATTCTATAACTTCTCTCTCACTGTGTCTCAGCACGTGTTGCTCCTATCAGTAATGCACGAGGCCAGTAGCTTTCAAGTGTGGCTGCCATGGCTGCAGGCGTGTAAGCTGGCACGCAACGTGATTCCACACCTGACATTGCTGTTCCTCTGGGTTCTTCCTCTTCTGGGGAGATGTGTTGTCAAAGTAGAAAAAGGAATGTGTCTGGATCTCAAGAAATGCCAGGCAGCAGCCACGTGGAAATAGGAGGTAATCCAGCTGGGCTGCCAGCCATCCAGAGGTCCTGCACAGATGGCTGTTACAGCACGTGCACATTGACTTTGCCCCCAGTCAGCTCAGTGCCCACATCTGAATTCAGGATTTCCTAGACAGAAACGTGGGAGCACTTTGAACACGTGGCACAGCTGTGGCACAGGCAGAAACTCCGCTGTTGTGGCTGGGACTCTGCTGTGGTGTGTTTTGCCCAGGACTCTGCTCGCAAGGGGCCTCTTTCCCTCAGCACTCTCCTTAGCTGGTTCTCTCCCTTCTCTCAGAAAACTGTCTAACCAAGAAGTATTGGGAGGGTAGGGGGGGTGGGGAGAGAAGAAAAGACTTAACAGACCTTAAATGTCAGCACTTGGGTGAACTTCCTCTTTTAAGTGGGTAGGAAGGTGAAGCTTGGAGGTCCATATAGGAACAAGCTCTTTCTGCACATCGCTGTGTAAATGTATTGTGTATCTCCATGTGCGTGTCCCTTGTGGGAGGGCAATTCTATAGACTAGGTGAGACCTCACCTGGAGTATTGTGTGCAGGTCTGGAGCCCTCAATATAAGAAGGACATGGACCTGATGGAGAGGGTCCAGAGGAGGGCCACAAGGATGATCAGGGGGATGGAGCACCTCTGCTACGAAGACAGGCTGAGGGAGCTGGGGTTGTTCAGCCTGGAGAAGAGGAGGCTCCGGGGAGACCTAATAGCAGCCTTCCAGTACCTGAGGGGGACCTACAGGAAGGCTGGGGAGAACCTGTTTAGAAAGGCCTGCAGTGACAGGACGAGGGGCAATGGCTTCAAGCTGGAGGGGAACAGATTTAGATTGGAGATGAGGAGAGGGTTCTTCACTGTGAGGGTGGTGGAGCACTGGGACAGGTTGCCCAGGGAGGTGGTTGAGGCCCCATCCCTGGAGATATTCAAGGTGAGGCTCGACGAGGCCCTGGGCAACCTGGTCTAGTTGGGGGTGTCCCTGCTGACTGTGGGGAGGTCGGACTAGATGACCTTTGGAGGTCCCTTCCAGCCTGGGCAATTCTATGATTCTATGATATATTTCTGTTTGGAAGTGAGTAAGAGGTGCACACTTCAGATCACTCCCTAGTCAGGCATTGAAGCTTTTGTTGTACGTGGTATTGGTTTTTCTGTTCTGCACCGAGCGCACCCTGCACTAAGCAAGAAGAGGAGGGTGTTCTACAGGCATCACCCTCGATGGGGACTTTTCTAACTGCCCTTTTTCTTGAGCAGAGCCAACATTTCAGTCCGGGTCACTGAAGCGCCCTGGTTCATCGAGGCAGCTCCCCAGTAACCTGCGGATCCTACAGAACCCCCTGTCCTCTGGCTTTAACCCGGAGGGCATTTATGTATGACAGTACATACCTCTTCTGGAGAAGATCTAGCAAGGTACCCTGGACAAGATACACTTTGGTTTTATTCTGCCAATGATGAATGGAAGAAGATTTTTGTGTGTGTGTGTTAAGCCACCGTCGTATTTTTTTTTCTTCTTCCTCCAACACACCACTTGGAGCCATACCTGTGCACTGATGCTAAAGAGACAGAGGAACTGTCTCGATTCATAATTCGCAAGAATGAACTTGCTGTGAACACAACTAGAGTGCAAAAACCTTCCTTGTTTTTGCCACTTCAGAAGTGTTTTGGAAAGTATTATTCCATGTATAGGCATAAATAAAAGACCGAGGGTGAAGGAAACCATGTATGCAACGTATCTGAGGTTTAATTTATTCCCTTTAATCAATGGACGTGTGAATGTTGACCTTTTATATTTTTATTTTTAACTTGTGAATAATCACATATGGCTGTATGTCAGTCTGACAAGGTGACTTTAATTTGCGTGAACAACTCTCCACCATTTGATCAAGTACAACTTGCAATGCAGAGTTCTGTGGAGTGCTGAACCATTAAAATGGTTTCTCACCACTGACTTTGTTAATTTCTGTTGTGGGTCATAATAGGTCATGTTCCATCCATTGCTCCCTTTTAAGGCTGAAAAAGTGAGCTTGTGGATTTGACTTGCTGTTGACTCTGCCTTGAATGAAGCACCTAGTGTTCAAAAGATTTATGGAATTTAAACCTTGGCTTGGTAAAAATATTTCCAGCATATGATTATGGAGGATGCACTAGTTAGATGATATTTTATTATATAGAATGTATATTTGAAATATTTTGCCACATTGTATATGCCTTTTGAGAAAAGAATAATGTAAGAAGTTATCTTCATCTATCTTACCAAAAGAGAGTAGCAGGCTTTCACTGTGTGTCATTTTATAGTTTTATTTTTTCCACTAGCCATTACAGTGTTCTTGTTTTGCGGTAAATCTTGGCTATTTGAGAAGAAAAAAAACCCACAAAACAAATGAGCATTCCCTTCCAGCCTTCCAGAATTCACTCAAGTTTTGTGGAGGGAAGAAACCTGGCAGGGAGTCCCATCAAGTCAATAGCAGAGCTCCTCCTGACTTGAGTGGGGCCAGGATTTCATTCCAGGTCCCCAAGTGTTAGATGGTAGACCTTTAGCCGCTTTGAAAAACATACTGCTGCTCAGTCACTTACAGAATATAAACCTTACAAACAGGAAATTCATACACTTGGTAGGAATTTTTTACAAAAAAAATGTGAAAAGAGAACATGATTGTATCTTGATGTCACACTAAGGATGAGACAAAATGGCTTCCATGCAGAAAGTAAGTACACTATCAAGTAGCACGTTGGTTACAGGCCTTGAAATTAAATTGCTAAAGTGGACACCAAGTTTGTAGAGAAAGTGACTGGCATCAGTGAGGCACTTGGTATATGTTAGGACTTCATGGATGAGTTACAGAAGGGATGGGCCTTGCCTAGTTGCATTTGGATTTCCTGTTCTAACAGCAACTCCTACTTGCCAAGCCCACCTTTGACAGGAGAGGGGGTCACCATGCTTTCACTGCAGGATTGAATGCCTTGACTTCCATCGGTGGCAAAATGACAGAATTCCTACTGTCTTTGGTAGGGTCAGGACTTTACCACTGGTAGGAAACTCCAAGCTTTTTGCCATAGATAATACTTCAGAATTCTTACCTCCTAGCCTCCTCTTGTGTTGATTTATTGATGTGCAGGTAAATGTTAATTTAAGTGTCATTTTTTTTTTAAAAGGAGCTTCCTGACAAATGGAAGTTTAAAAAGATACAGTAGAAGATGAAGGACTCGAGTGTAATGCATTTTTATTTCCCTTTCCACTTATTAATGGCAACATATATTCTAAAAGTGCTGCTGTATTTAGACTAACAGCAACAAACAAGGCTGTATATATATATAAAGGACCTTTCCAAATGGATTCTCAATTTTTACCGTTTAACTTATCAGGTCTTTTTTTTTTTTCCCCTTCCTTGTGAGCAAACTGGAAAATGAGGTGTTCCTACCTGAGGAACCTTTGCAGTGCTCACAGGTTTTACTGTTCGTTTATCACAACTCGATGCTCATGTTTACTGTGCCCGTAACTTTGTATTAAAAATATATATAAAAAATGTATATTAAAAGTGTAAAATATACATAGTTTGGGGACAATATCTGTCCAAGGTACTTGAGCATATATGCCTTACATTCTGGGTTCAATTTACAGAAATAAAATGGCCCTCTCCAGTGGATAACTTGCAACTTCAGCACCTCTTGATCTTAGAGAACTGAGGCACTCAGCACCTTGCAAAGTCTGGCCCAAATTATGCTGCATGGGGGTGGAGGGAAACACGAGGAAAAAGCCTGTTGCAATTTCAGTCTTGTACTGAGATAAAATATTTTTAAGGCAGATCAGCTTATTTACCCAGCTAATGTTTTATGTCATACTTTGTGACTGATCCATCTCCCACAGATGTCAGTTTGAGCTGAACTGGGCTCTTGCATCATTAAAAACTGCTCTCTTTCTCTGCCCGGTTATTCTTTAAGATGGAGAGAGGAGGAAAGGAAAAGGATTAAAAAGAAGGGGAAGAGCAGTTTTGGAGGGCTTGAGTTACAGCTTCGTAATAATAGAATCAAGGAAGGAATTTGCCATTTAAGTTAAAAAATAGCCAGAAGTGCCAGTCTGGAGCTGGCTTGGGAGCTGCCACTGCATCATCACTGACTGGCCCCTCCTTGTCAGGACTTTAGCAGATGTCAAGGTGATCTGGAAAACATTTACAGCTTCAGCCACTGTTGTGGCAAAGGAGAGGCTTTAGTATCCAAACCTGTCATTTGGGAGACACTGACAAATTCCCCTGCCCCCACCACGCTCCTCTCACTTACTGCATTTCACGCAGGCTAAAGTTCTGCAGCATTTTCACCCTCTCTGTAAATAAACCAAAAAGAAATGGCATGTCCTTGCATTAAATGTGAATTGAACAAAGTATTACAGTTATAAAAATTCCTCACATTACAGCGTTAAGAATTTTGCTTCAGATCAACTGCAAAAATCTCACTCTTTCTTTTACAAATGTAGAAAAACGCATTTTCAGAAGTGTTTCAAACCTACTTATGGGGCATTAGCAGAAAGGAAGTTACACATACTAATTTTAACAAGTGCCATATTATTTACTGGCCAGCATGATAAAAATGGGGTTTTTTTGCTTGCGTTAAGTAGTTGAATACACAAGCACTATTTTCCAGTGCACAGGGAATTTATATGGAGAGCTCTGTAATTTATTACTAACAGAAATCAGCTGTGTTACCTCTCTCATCCATGAGGATACAGTTTATTTTTGCTGGTGAGGCTATGTTGTTAGGGGGAAAAGGGGAGGGTTGACCATTTGAAAAGCCAGTAGGTTAAGGCTAAAATATACCTTCTGAATGCCCCAGCAACGGAGAAACCCAAGTCCCACTCTGAAAAGTCAGCTAGAAACCTGCCTCCTGATATCTCTCGGTGGGACTTGGGTTCCCAAGTGCCTGAATTGCTTCTGGAAATGGTATGTTAGCTTTGAGATTACTTGCTTTTCTAAACCCTAGCAAGTTGGAAGGAGGAAGCTCTTGAAGAAGAGAACTACCACTAGCATTAGCAATATGCAAATAGACTTTCATTGTGAGGTAAGAGGGGAAAAAGATCCTCTAGTGAAATAAAAAATCTCCTCTTGGGGCAATAATTGCCTTGTTTTTAGCGTGAAGAGTATTGCTTTATTTTAGTGAACTGGGATCGTGTGAGTATGAGAAAAAAAAATTGATCTTGTAATTTTTAGTGAGTTATCTTGAAGCATATAAATTCCTGATGTGCATTAACTTGAGTGAATTGGGCCTTAATGATCCATGTAAATAACAAAACTTTATTCAGATATTTTTTCCAGAAAATAGTCTCTAATGGTCTGTACTGTATTAAAACAAGTGTCAAAGTGTTACTTTTATATTACACTTTTTTTTTTTTTTTTTTTTAAAACTTTGCAACATGCTTGTTTTTTCTTCACTAGCATTAGCAATATGCAAATAGACTTTCATTGTGAGGTAAGAGGGGAAAAAGATCCTCTAGTGAAATAAAAAATCTCCTCTTGGGGCAATAATTGCCTTGTTTTTAGCGTGAAGAGTATTGCTTTATTTTAGTGAACTGGGATCGTGTGAGTATGAGAAAAAAAAATTGATCTTGTAATTTTTAGTGAGTTATCTTGAAGCATATAAATTCCTGATGTGCATTAACTTGAGTGAATTGGGCCTTAATGATCCGTGTAAATAACAAAACTTTATTCAGATATTTTTTCCAGAAAATAGTCTCTAATGGTCTGTACTGTATTAAAACAAGTGTCAAAGTGTTACTTTTATTTTTCTTTTTTTTTTTTTTTTTTTTTAGAACATTGCAACATGCATGTTTATTCTATTTGCTACAGTATTTTAATGTTTTGGATGAAGGCCATCGGTTGTATGGAGATGACAAAACAATCATTCTGTCTATTTATTCAGTATTGCTGCTTAAAGTTTTCAAAATAAAGCTTTCAATGCCAACGTAGCGACTGATTGAAAGCTGTTCTAGCTCTCTTCAGATGTCTTTTCCTATGTTTATAGAAAGCTAAATAAGTGAAACTTGGTATAAAGTGTTATACCAGCAAAGAGTTATTGCAATAATGTTGTGGGGAGGGGTTGGGGGTAAGTGTATGTAGTATATACATAAATGTATGCATGCAGTGAATGCGTTTTCTGAAGTAAATGGAGTGCTGCAGAATGTTTGAATCCTTGGTGGTCTTGCAAGCAACTTACTTACACGTGTGGTTAAATACTGGTCAGTGCTTCGTACCAGTGTGCAGTGCTTGTGAGGGGCAGAACAAGCAGAGGTGGTCACAAAGGATCAACTCGGAGCCCTTGGAACCAAATGGGATTTAAGCACATTCTTGAGTATTCCATAGATGTGTTTCTGAATCAGGCCTAAAAGCACGTTCTGATTCAGAAATCTTTTGGTCGCAGCAAGGACGGCTCGTTTCGAGCATAGCTGGTACCTCTGAAAATTGGAATAGTTCTGAGATGGATCAAGTATGCCTGTTCTAATTGTAAAAATGGAGAAAACTTCACCCTCACGATCACCCTGTGACACTATTAAGAAGGGGTTCTGACTGGAAGGTTTGAGTTGCTGATGCTTTAACCTAGAGAAGCAACGCAAACTACCTGTGAAAACACGAGTGAGCATTCTCTTACTGCTCTGCTTCAATGCAAGATGAAAATCTGTATTATATGTAACTATATTTTTTATCATTTAAAAGCTTCTATTTTTTATTATTCTCATGAATGGTTGACAAAAGATATTGGATATGCTCCCATACAATAAATTCCCCTCTGAAACTTTGGGTCTTTACATGGTTCATGGTTTTGCTGGAATTGCAGCGTACATCTCGCGCACCTCTCGTCATACAGCTACTGGAATTCTATCTGCCAAAAACCACTAAGCCTGAAAGCAGGCCAAGGCAGTGCTCTGTGTGTCCAGAGCTCAAACACCTCCACACGTGGCCCTATGTCGAGCACTAGAACACAATGAACACTCCAAAATGGCAATTTACTCAGAGATGTGGGACACGCACCTGGTTGGTGTGGGGGCCTCTATGGCAGACAAGAGAAGTCCTCAACCAGAAAGTGTGCACGTGCTGTATTTTAAACCAGATATAGCCCAGAAACTGTAAGAGAATGGAATAGCTTGTTTTTAACTGAAGAACTGTTACCAAGATTAATATTTAGGGCGACAAAGCTGGTGAGGGGTCTGGAGCACAAGTCTTATGAGGAGAGGCTGAGGGAGCTGGGGTTATTCAGCCTGGAGAAGAGGAGGCTGAGGGGAGACCTTATTGCTCTCTCCAACTCCCTGAAAGGAGGGTGTAGAGAGGTGGGGGTCGGTCTCTTCTCTCAAGTCACAGGCGACAGGACGAGAGGAAATGGCCTCAAGTTGCACCAGGGGAGGTTCAGGCTGGATATTAGGAAAAATTTTTTCACGGAAAGGGTTCTCAGGCATTGGAATGGGCTGCCCAGGGAGGTGGTTGAGGCACCATCCCTGGAGGTGTTCAAAAGACAGGTTGATGTAGTGCTGGGAGGTCTGGTTTAGTGATGATGCTCCTTGTTTGTTGTGTGGGTGTCTGTTTTTGTCAGTTAGGTTGACGGTTGGACAAGATGATCTTTAAGGTCCCTTCCAACCTAGAAGATTCTGTGATTCTGTGATTGGCCAATTCTATCTTTTCAGGATTAGTGAGTCAGAGGAAGTGTAACTTAAAGCAAAGAGGCAGGGGTTTGTTTGGAGGTGATCAGGGAGAGGAACAGAATGGACAGAATCTTCACACAACAAATACAAGGTGCACAAACGCTTCTGGGAGCAGGAAGAAATTAAGCTTTGGACAAGGAACTGAAGACCTGATTCAGGCTTAGTTCTTGTGCTGAAGACCAGAGGACGGTGAAGATTGCTTGAGATCATTTTGTGTTAATCAAGGCAGGGAATTTGCTACAGCTGGGGACTCGTGATTCAAGCCATCCAAATGCAGTCCTTAGTCTAATATCCCAACAAATGGCTTTTCCTAAGCCATCTGGAGCCTAATCTCCTTAGATGTGAGCAGAAATGAGCTAACAGTAGTAGCACTGTTGACCTGCGATAAGAATGTCGTGAGCTTCATGGAAGCCCTAGCATGTGGCATTCATGTTGGTAGGCCCATGGAAGCTGTAGAGGAGCTCTGCTCCTGAAAGGTGCCCTTTTCTGCTTCTGAGCAAGTCACCTGGCTGGGGTTTGTAGTACCTAAGGGTTCCCAGCGTGCTCAGCAGAGCTAAGGGTACAGCTAATGGTTCTGATATTTTGCTTTGCCTATAAAGAACAAAGTGGTATATTTGTGTGTGACTGCTGCAGCACTAACTAGCTCAGTACAACTGAACCACTAATGAGTTTTTAAACCAGATCGGATCAATGGTTCATTTAATTTAGAATTTGTACTGAGTTCTTCTGCCTGTCACGTCTTTGTCAGCTAGGTGGCATTTCTTTATAATCCACATTTTTAATGATTGTTTCAAGTAAGTTGTCTAGCATCTGAAGTACGGCACAGTAAGCAATATTCTCCATTGTTGCCTTTCTTGAAAATCATTTATTTTCTACCTTTGGTATTGTAGCTACTGTTAATGAGTATTTTCGAGGCCAGCTACTGCTTCATCATTAACTTTCTCCAGAACTATTGCATGGAGACAATCTCAACTGGTCCGTTTTGTTCCGTTTTTACAGGTGGGTATGTGGTGTGCTTCTTTCCATCCTTTGCAGTGAGTTCCATGTGCTGCCAAGTCAGCAAACCGTGGGGTTGATTTGTTAAACATGAGCTACTGTCTGGTGGGTGACTTGAAAAGAGCCTCTTTGGCATATAGCACAATAAGGAACTCGATGCAAACGGAGATGATAAACCCAATTGAGCAACTTTACCACTTGTCTGATCAACTCGGACACGTGGATATGAGACTTTGATTTCAGTTTCCAGTCCTCTGAGTTCCACGTATATCAAGGAGAAGCAGAGTTATGAAAAAAAAAAAAAAGTCCAATCAACAGGAGACATTCCTGTACAGAAAGACACTGATGAATGGGATTTGGCCTGCAACAGCTATGTCCTACATTCTGTCTCATAATGTATAATTACCTATGTATTGGCTTGTTCCCCTGTCCCCAGGAACAGTATATATGCTTTCATATATACTGTTCCTGCAAAGTAGAGAATGATGCTCTTCTTCAAGCTGTAGCTTTCCCTTTCTGTGCATCGTTTTTGCATATGCTCTTTTGTGCCTGTTGTTTCAGCTACGCACTTTATTGTGCTTTACACCTCTGCAGAAGGAGGAAGGCAATAAGTAATTGGAAAACTTGGTGAGAAAATGCAATATGAAACATCTAATATTCAATCCTGGGTCAAGGTAGGGGGGAGAAAAGTTTTCTATGATTTCTTTTTAATGAGCAAAAGTTTGAAGAATAATATTGAGAAGAGCTCCAGCTGGGCTTGTGAAAAGTCCACTTAAAAAACCCTTATCTAGTGAAATCCAAATGATTGCCAATAATTACCCAACTAGGTGTTTTAAAAGGGAGGGCTTCTGATTAAAACAAAGGGGGGAGGGGGGTGGGAAGAGGGATGTACACCAAGTAAACCATCTTAAAACACCTTTAACCTGATTCCTATTTGCCCCAAAGTCCCATGTGATGAAGAGTGAAAGGAATCATCCAGGTACCATCAGTAGCTGTTGCTAAAATAAAATTCAGGCCAGCCTTTAAGTGGGGCATAACTGGAATTTCTTTGTTGTTGCCTATGAAGCTTCTCATAATTTAATACCTATCGCAACCTGCACTAGCATATGCCTTTTATCAGGTGTACCAAACTGCTCTTTGTGAAATGTTATGTGCCCAGAAGAGATGATTTGACTTCAGCAGTCACAATCAACCCGAGGTGAACTTTGACCAATGAGGTAAAACTGGCCCTTCTGGAAAGCTGAAGAGAAACTCGAGAACACCAGCCGACCTTTTAACTACGCTTTGTTGCTACAAAATTGTCTTAACTGTGCTCTTGACCTAGCAAACCTGCATCATGGTTACCAAGACTATGACCTGACCTGGATTCTCCATTGTCATGTAGCTTGTCTCATGTACAAACCGAGCGTGGACGAGACAGTGACATGGCTAAATGAGAAAGGTAACAGTGTATGTGTGGCTGTACGGCCGGTGTGAAAGGTTCCGGTAGATGCAGGGCACCAGATAATCTTACCCCATAAATTGTCACATCACTGCAGTTACAACAAGGTCTGCACGAGAGGGCAGCAATACACATGGCATTCCTGGAGCAGCACAGCCATGCAGCTAGTTGAAAAGCAGATTTTTCTAGGCATGTATAGCACATCAGAGAGAATCGTGTAAAATACGCAAAATTCCATCTTTAAATATGTTCTCTCAGAAAGGACAC